TTCAATGAATAATTCATTAGTGGATTCCGGGTTCAGAACAGCACAATAGAATGTACTCCGGGTGAAAATGTCACATTGGGTTTTTACCTTTTCGAAAGTAGTAAACACACCCCTTCAGTCACTGTACGCATTTGCGAATCTTCAAGGGTGTTAAATAGGTCCACACATTGCGAGTAAGTACTTATCATCACATTTTAACCAAAATTTCTTATATTAAGACTTTTATTTTTTTTTATTTGTAGGTATGAATATGCTTTAGCAATTATAGTTGTTGACTTGTCCTCAACTGAATCAAATCCTGCAAAAGTTACCTTTCAATGCCCAGTAGCTCGTGACAAGGTTGAAACTGGTGGCCTTTACTCTGTCTTAGTTGCACCAACATTTATTGAAGATGATCATGTGCATGTAACCATTGTTAAATAATGTATTAATATAGAATCTTAAATTCGCTGAATATTCGATTTAAAATTATATTCGAACTAGAGTATGTGAATGTGGGCGGCTTCGCCGCCCGGAATCATTATTTAAAATTATTGGTTTTTATTATTCACGTGAGTTTAAAATAAGTATTTGTTATTGATTGTATTAATAAATTAGAATACCGCGTTATGCGTGGCCTTCTGCCACGCATAACGCAATATCTGCTATGAATGAGGTCAATGATTGTTGGTCACAATTTGACTAATAACACAGTTATAACAAAAATAAACCATTTTTAAATAAATTTACGTAACCACATTAAAAAAAATGAAGACACACGTATGTGATTAAATTACTGATTTCACTATAATCTGATCTACATAGCAGCTTGGTTTTACTAGTTTGTGATTATGTTTTTCTATTATCACAGATGTTTTTTTCTTTCTGATGACTAAAAAAACGTATTTTTTCGTTGTGAATATTTTTATGGTCTTCGATGATCAGTGATTATCAATCCATTTGTCCAGTAAAAAATCTGGCAAAAAAATAAAAAAAAAAACATCAAAATAATATTTACAAATCTAGGTAGAGTGTTAATAACATAATGAATACGAAGTCTTTTTATCTCTACCGTTGTTTTTTGTTGCTACTCGAAAGACAAAAGTATAGAATACTGCTGGTATTCTTTATTAACATTCTCATTTACATTCGCATTCACTATGTATCATAATTTATACAAAAATGACAGATGAAAATTTCCTTTCCTGGAATTGCAAGAAAATTTTGGCCGTAGATCCCATGTTCGAAGACGTTACAAGTTACAAAAAGGTCAAATAACCTGACAAAATCTAGTTTTGAATATATATCCTGCATATACATATATAGAAAAAATGATTTGGCAAAATTGAAAACCTTTAAAAACCTTTAATTAAATTCGAATATTCATGCATAAATATTACGTGAAAAATAGATGCAATATATAATAATATAGCTGTTATAACTGCTATAATCCCCTGATCACTATATCAAGATCACGGGAGGATTAATTAATAATACCCTGACCATATGTGAATAAGCGGAAACTTAGTTTTCACTAATTCCCAATGGATCAGAATATTATTATTACTAATAATTATTGCTATTATAATTATTACAACCATTCTAGTTATTATAACCGTTATAGCTGTTATTTCTGTTATAAAAATTTTAATGGTCTAACAGTCTAACGGTCTAACTGTTCTAACAGTTATTAACAGTTAAAATTATTTATGTGAATTAATATGCGAATCAATAAATTTGAATGTTATATAAATTAATATGAATTATTTGAACTAATTCGACTTTAAATTAAATAAGTTCAAATATTAAAATTAAGTTCAATTCCAATCTCTAGTACATACATAATACTGTAATCAAAAAATAATACTGTTTATAAATAAAAAAAAGATATTTATAGTGTCCAATGAACATTTTTCGCACTTCAATTTAAGTTCTCAAAATCATACATAGCATAAAATTTTTTGTAAACAAAGAATATATTGAAGCCAATTATCTGTACATTTTACAAAACAGTAAGTCTCCTGTATCACAGTACTGCATGATTACAAATTTTCATGTAATCATCAAATATAAAAATTATACAAATATTTTTAAGTAGTATACCTTAATAATGAAATAATCAATTTTAACATTTGAGGATTTTTTTGAATTTTATATGTTTGTAGAATTTAAAAAAGTTTTTAAACATCAAATTAATTACTTTATTGTTAAGATATTCATAAAAAAAATTTGATGGTTACCAAATTTTGGGTAGTACTGGTTAAAAATTCTTTTAAAAATTTAACATATATATCTCAACAATAACATAATCAATTTTGATAATTAAGATTTTTTTGGAATTTTACAGTTTTGTAAAATTCAAAAAAATCTTTAAATATCAAAATTAATTACTTCGTTACTAAGATATTATTGTTAAAAGTTTGCAAAAAATTAAATATTTCATAATTTTTTAATAAATTTCTAACAATAATATCTCAGCAATAAAGTAATCAATTTCAGTATTTAAAGATTTCTTAAATTCTACAAAACTTTAGAATTCAAAAGAGATCTTAATCATCAAAATTGATTATATCATTGTTGAGAAAATTTTATATAAATTTAAAAAAAATATATTTATTAATTATATATGCAGGTATTATCTTTTTTCAAGACAGGAAAAATTTCATAAATTTTAGTTCTCTACTTTACGTCATAATAGTTTTCATAAAATTTATATAGTAGATATCTGTTAAAAAAATCTATTAATCTGTAGATAATATAGAGACCTATATTCAAGGTTTTTTTTGTTTATAGAAAGTTTAAAAATACTATATATAATTTTAAGAGATCTACAGACACAAAAAAACTTTTGTTAAGTACTGTAGTAAATTAGTACAATATAATATAGTATAATTATATATAGGTATACAAAAATTGAACAAAATTAAAATAGTTTATATATTTGTATATATGTTAAAAAAAAATAAAAAATTTAATACTAGTAAGGCTGTTAAAAGTCTAATCTTTTTAGTTTTGACTCTGTAAATAGAGATTTTGATTAGAACTTAAATAATATTATAGTAATAAAAAATCAGAATAATATTGTTATAGAACAGTTTATTATTTAATTAGTTTATTATTCCGATATTGTATTTTATTATTTATTTTATTATTATTAATTAGTCTTATTTAGTTATTATTATT